TCAATTTTACGAATGAACTTCATTAGTAAATGTTTTCCATCGCTACCCGAAATGGCGTAAAACGAAGAAGCAGTTTCAATAATGGATATGGAATATTTTTTTTATTTTTTTTTTTTTGGACTGGCTTAGATCGCCAAAATAATTTTCTTCAATTTCAGCCTGTTTCGATGTTGAAGGTAGTTCACCGGTTGCTTTGAGAAGCCTTTAATTGCCACTGATTGCCTAGTTTTATGCATTTTGCGCATTTTTTTTATACAGTTCTTTGAAGACAGTCAATTCATTTTGAAAATGAGCTTGAAACCAACCTTCACTATCGAAATTAAAAAAGTTTTATTTTTGAGACTTCAGTAATTATTTAGCATTTTCCTTCATAACGAAAATAACCAATTTAGGCTATTTTGGAGATCTAGGAACGCCCAATGTTATTTCCATACAAATTAATGATAACTGTTTTTTTTTTTTTGTTGTTGTTGTTGTTTTAAACCATTTTTACGATCATTGCAGAAACGAAAATAAATTTGAGTAAGAATATTTTGTAGGTCTCGGAGCGTTCAAAAATATTTTCCTTATAAATTAATGTTTTTTTTTTCCGTGTTACGCCAATTTAGCCTTCATTCCAGAAACGAAGATTTCAGTAAGTATATTTTGTGGGGCTCTGAACGTTCAAAAATATCCCCTTATAAATTGATGGTTATTACGTTTTCGATTTACGCCATTGCCACAATCATTGCGATGTTGTCAGTCGGAACAAAAATCTCAAAGATATTTTAGGGATTTCAGAACGTTTAAAAATATTTTCTTATCAAGTAATGGAAATTCTTTTTTCGATTTACACCATTTCTGCAATCATTGCAACGTAGCAAATCATAGGAAAGTATGCAGATTTTTTTTTTTTTTTTTTTGCGGGCATAATTGGCTGGGTGTGGAAATGTTAAATTCCATGTGAGTAATAGTAATTGCTTCTTTGCTTTACGCTATACATTCGGATAACGGGGGAAACAGGCACATACTATATTTATATATTATATCACACGCACACATATATATATATCACACGCACGCATACACACACACACACACACACACACACACACACACACACACACACATATATATATATATATATATATATATATATATATATATATATATATGACACCGTTTTGGAGAAATTCAAAGATCTGAAACAGCAAATAAAGACGAACAATTACACTATTAACAGTTTATTGAAATTCACATTTAGCCAATAGAAACTATTTAAAAACAAAAAAAAAGTGTGGGCGTATTTTTTTTTTGTCTTTTTTGAAAGTCTTTTTGCCAAAATGTTGGCTTTAAAGTTCAGTAGGAAATATTTTAAAGAGAAAAAAAATGGATGAAAAAAAAAAATGTCTACCCATTTCGATTTTGTTTGTATCTGTCTCTATTTCTTGAGGAATAAAAGGTTTCTTTTTTGTTGTTGTTGTTGTTTTTGTTTTGTGTTGTTTCGTCTTCAGTCTAAGTTCTGAAGATGAATCCAAGACGACGGTAGGTCGGTTGGATACAATAGCATAAAAATCAAACACAACGTCAAAATGGACAAAACTTGTCAGATCGACATTTTGTGGCGACATCTTTCTTCCATTTTCTTTTATTTATAATTTGTGTCTCTGTTTTTATTTTTCTCCTTGTTTCATTCATTTTTCTTTATTCAGATGATCAGTTCACGGCTATTTTGTTTTTGTAAATAATTGCTGCAATACAATTCAATCGTCCCTCCTTTCAGTCCACTTATTTTTCCTTCTCTTCATTCAAATGCTTTTATATAAGAGACAATTCTTTTAACAATCTCCCGACAGAAGAGAAAGAAAAGGAGAAAAAAAATTACATTGTCGAAACGTCCATATATTCTTTTTGGCGTTTGAGTCGTTTAATTTTTTTTATTTTGTACTTCTTTTGTTCGAGAAACGTCTTAGAAAATATCATAATTCCCGTCTTTGATTTTAAAGAAAACAACTTTTCGTCCAGTTTGCAAACATTTTCTCGCACGAAATATTTTGTTTTCAGCGTCCGTTAGATTCAAAGACAATTATATATTTGTCATTGTTAATATTATAATTATATTTATGTATTAATAATTGTTAATATTATTATTATGCTGGTGGTGGTGGAAATATTTTTTCCCAACAGTTTTTCCTTGAATTTAAAAAAAAAAATACATGTGTTTGAAACAAACGTGTAGTTCCCGTCCAGCATCCTTATTGAAATACATGGATTTGAGGAGGATATTTGGTTAATTTGCAGTGTAACACACACGCTCAGTTCGCATTAAAAATTTCCAGAATACTTACATATATGTGTAATTGTGCATTGCTCCATTCGAATCTTGCCTGATAAATTTGATAAAATCTACCGTCTTGGAGTTATCGAAAGTACGGATTCATTCGCGTCGTTGGCGGCAGCCATTACTGTGGTTGTTTGCATACATTCGCTGCGGAAAGCTAAAAGCGGAACTGATTTTACTTGTCTAAATTTGTCCCAATTATTGCGCACGAGAACTATTTACGTGGACGCGCTCAGTTTTCACAATGATATCTACACTGATAGCTATTCTGCAGCAAATGTATGCAAACAACGCCAGTAATGGCTGCCCGCGACACGAATGAATCCGAACTTTTACTGTCGATAACTCCAAAACAGTGAATTTTATCAAATTTATCAAGCTAGATTCGAATGGAGCTTGTAGAATTACATATAAATGTAAGTATTATGGAAATTTTTAATGCGAACTGGGCGTGGGTGTTACACTGCAATTTCACCGAATATTTTTTTTTAATATACATCTTGTAATTTATTTATTTATTTTATTTTCTAACTCTTTCATTCACTCACCTCTTTCTCAATTTCATTCATTCGTGAAATGTGGTGGTGGGTGGTGGTGGTAGTGAAGGGAGAGGGGAAAACATTTTTTTTTTGTTTTTTGCAAGAGGAAAAAAGTGTTCATGCAATAACTTTTTCTTTCTTTTTTTTTTCTTTGTTATTTTTTAAATCGCGTCTTTTTTTTTCTTTTCCCTCTCTTTCTTCTTCTATTTGGTTATAATTTATTTATTTTATATTTTTGTGTTTTTTGTTTTCTTTTTTGTTTCTTTAATTCTACGGACATTTTTGACACACGAGGAATACTCCTAAGGTCCGGCAATTGCAATATTTTCGGAAGATTTTTCGTTTGAACTTACAGTACTTGCGTAGAACTCTATCAACAGGCGTGTACGTGTCGACGGGGTTGCGCAACTCACCTGATTTGTGGCAGACGCCATTATCGAAGCAAAAACGCACTTGACTTTTCATGTGTTTTACTTGAATCATATGTCGATCTGGAACTGGGGCGCTGCAGGAAAAACGTAGCCGTTGTTCAAAGTATCCCCCACGCGTGGTGTTCGTTTTTATCCATTCGCTCCAGGGCACAATTTTTGATTTGGCTGAAACAACAAACGAAAAAAAAAAGTTAGATGAATATGAATATCTATAACCTTGCTTTTTCTGCAAAATGGGGGACAAGTTCGATTGCTGCAGGAAGACACATTGTCTTTATTTCGTTTTATCGAGTACACAGGCCAGCAGAAGTAAATGCTGTTTTGAATTAAAATACGGGTATCCACTAAAAATAACGTTTAAAGTAATAAAAATATGTCGGATTGAATAAATAAAATCCATTAATTCTATAGAAACATAAACATATATATATATATATATATATATATATATATATATATATATATATAAAGAAAGAACAGTAAGATATATAATCCGGTGTTCTTATAGATATTTTTATTTTTACAAAATAGTGCTCAATGTAAATTTACAGAGCATTAATATTATAAATTAATTGATTTAAAGTATGTTTTTTTTCGCTACACAGTTCTAACCATGTTTCAAAAATATATAATAGAAATTAAGGAGGATTTGAGATATTTAATTGATCGAGCCCAGAGGAAACCCCAAGATAATGCAGAAAGCACTGGACAACCGTTTCGTCCTATATTTAGGACTACATCAGCAGTGCGCATCCACTACCGAGAATTGAACCCCAGACAGTTAGGCTATCATGCAAACATCATACCAACTGTTCCAACGCGCCTCGGAATATGCGAACGCGCGGCGCAATATCGAGTCTTGTTCGCTACCTCTTCGTCACAGAGGACCGTCCAATGCTTTCTGCATTCTGTTGAGGTTTCTTCTAGACTCGATGAATTACGTAATATATATATATATATATATATATATAGCCAGCACAATATAATTGTGTTTATCAAAAAATCTTTATAAAAATGATAAATGGGAGGGGAGGGGGAGCAGAGGGAAGGAACTTGTTGAGAGCTTCAAGGGATAGAGGGAGGTGGAGAGCCATGATCGCCTACTGCCTGAAAGGACATGGCATTGGAAAAGAAAGCTTGTCATCTTTTCTTTTTTATTACTAATCTTTACCCGATATAAGTCCTAAGTGTCACTCAAAGTAGAGGTCTGTTGTATGGTGTTGAAAAAATTTTTTCCAGTCGTAGACTGACTAGGCAAAATTTTTCCTGCATTAGATTGTCGTTTCTTTATGCGGTAGACTGGTTGCCAACCAAGGCTACAGAATCCAGCCTGTATTTTTTATCCTACCCATACGGGATACACGCATGGATGATCATGTCTTCTTTGATTAATGACTGAAGGCATTTTTTCCCGCAGTAGGTTGTCGTTTCTTTCTGCGATATACTAGTTGCCAACTAAGGTTATAGGACACAGTATGCACTGATATTCTGCCCTTACGTGATACACCCTTGGGCGGTCGTGTCTCTTTCGACTCATGACTGACTAGGCAAAATTTTATTCCCGCAGTAGGTTGCCGTTTCCCTTTGCCGCAGACTGGTTACCAACTAAGGCTATAGGACCCAGTCTGTCCTGTCATAGTGTGATAAGATGGGCTCATACCTTTTCCTTTTTCTCGGCTCTCTGATTTCTCATTTCGAGCCTATATCCATTCCCTCACAATGCACATCTAAATCGATACAGTACTGGTAAACGAGTAAGAGCATTTTCCTCGCAAAAATAACTGGAAACATGGGAAACATGCTATTCAGTGTCATATTGTTGGGTGCACTTAGGCACAGAATAAATATAATGGCCACAGATTTTGGTTAGATATTTTTGAAAATAATTTTAAAAGATTTTGTGTTTGAAGATGGATCGAGACACCGATAATGTTCTGTTAGACATGGATAATGCTATCACTATCTCTGTGTAGAACGAGGAATTATTTTCTGGCAAGCTAAAAAGAATTTACACGTCTGGGCATGTAATTAGAATAAGGCTGTTCAGTATAAGCAATTTTCTATTAACCATTTGCTGCTTTTCGATGCTGATTCATTCTGTTACAGAAGTAATTCTGATATATTGCAAAGTTAACCAAAATATCCACAGACAAGATCTTGGTATGTGGGGTCAGTACTCAATTATTTTTCAGTTTATTTTTGTTTACTAGTCATTCTTTTTGACGTTGGTTTGTTGACATTAAAACGAAACATGAGATGTTAATATAAAACGCCGAAAGATTCTTAGAAATTTCCTCTAGTTTCCGTTATATAGCGAGAGGTGAGCTTCTTAGGACGTCAGAAGGTAAGTAACAGCATTTACCTGGTTCATTGAATCTATAATATCGGCTTTCCGGTCCAATATTTGTGCGTCTAAATCGCTACAGAACTGGTCAACATCTTCCTCTTAAAATTAGTAGGAAACCTGGCATTCAGTGTTGTATTGTTGGTTACCCTTAGGAACAGGGTAAATATAATGACCATACATTTTAGTTACATATTTTTATATTTGTAAATAATTTGAAACCATTTTGATTTTGAAGATGGATAGAGACACCGATGGAGTCTGTCTAGCATCATCTTTATGTAAAATGAGGAATTATTTGCTGGCAGGAATGGCAACATAAAAAGAATTTACACGTCTCAGCATATAATTAGAATAAAGCCGTTCTGTATAGAAAATTTTCTACTAACAATTTACTGTTTTTTTATGTTGATTTGTTTTTATTACAAAAGCAATTAAGTCAGTCCTCAATATATCAGTCAGTCAGTTATGTGCTGTGCGTGATACATGACTGACGAGGCAGATTTTTCCCGCAGTAGGTTGCCATTTATTTCTGCGATAGACCAGTTGCCATCAAAGGCTACAGAACCTGGTCTGTCCTGCTATTTATGGACGGAAAAGAAGAGGGTTAATACCTTTCCCAAGGGTATTAGTACGTAAGTGAATGTATTGGATTCGACGGGAATTCGAACTCGGCTCACCGATTCTTCAATCCGAGCCGCTACCCATTACTCTACCATCCCTCATCTCAACATATATTAAACTTATATTTTTGATTCTCGCTGGGTACTCGACATTTGTGACAAAAGTTCATATATGTTGAGCACTCAATGAGAATTTAAAGATTCTATAATCATCGCTTTAAAATATGAAAATAATTAATAACACATAACTGTAAGATAAATCATTACTGAAATATGATGTCTTCAAATTAGACGCATTGTGTCTTATTAGTTTCATAGGATTCAACACATTAAAGCACAGCGGATGCTTGAATTCGCGGATCGAACTGAACCGCTAAAGAATTTCTATACATACACAGCTATAATAAAGTTCAATTTACAAAATATACTAAACTTGTGCTTTTGCTTTTCACTGGGTGCCATACATTTGTAAAACTGGATAATAAATATTGAGCACTCAGTGAGAATCAAAGTTAAAACTTTTGCTAACGAGCTCTTTAAAATATGCGTCTTCCTAAAAACCCGATAAGATAATTATTTACAAACCATCACAGCAAGGTAAATCTAATATGGCTTTGTTTTCAAATTAATATGGCGTTGTTTGCAGCTTTTAAGCATGTATAGTTATTAAGTTATTGGAAATGTTATACACTTCGCTTTAAAATGGAACTGAGCATTTCTCTGTTAAATATTTAGAGTCATGTTTTCTCATGATTTAAAAAGTAAGTACCGTTCTTGTGTTGCCAAATAGAACCTGTTTAAAAATGAAAGATGGAACAACTGTTCAGTGTTTGTTTATATTTTAAAAGCAAAACAAATTTTCTGGTTGTTTAACAAGATAAGTACATTTAAATTAACATTCAATGGTTTACAAGGTTGACTCACAGACAACTGTACAGCAGCGAATGTTCGTCTTGGTTTTGAAAGAAATTGTTTCTTTTATAAATTATGATCACTTGTTTGAAATCGGCAAGACACTGACTAGGCCGAGAATATAAGCACTGACCTGCGCAGTTGTGGTTGTTGCATAAACGCCACTCCTGGGTGTTTCCAATGCAAGGAATTCCATTGTGCCTTGGAGGTGGATTGTCACAATTGCGACGCCGTGTTTGGACACCTCCATAACAACGCTCAGAGCAACCGGCCCAAGATGACCACATTGACCATTGTCCATTTATTGGGCTGTCTGGAAAATTACAGAGAAAAGATAGTTGTCATTTTTGTCGCATTCTCACTTTCATATACGACAGACAGAACCGCAGAGACACACATAGACAGATGTAGATATAAGCACATGTACAGAGAAGACAGACACGCAGGCAGAAATAGATACATACAGACAGGCACAAATTGAGAAAGAGAGAGAAAAAGATTTGTAGACACTAGGATTAGAAATAATCACTTTTTTTCAAATGAAGAAGAAAAGAAGAATATAGTTTAAAAGCACCAGATCACAATTATCTAAAAAAAATATAATGAATTTTTATAAATGTTAATATTACAGTTTGCTTTGTAAGTTCATTGTAAATTTATACAGTAATCCAAAGCAAATATGTTTATACGACGAATTTTTTGTAACACACACACACACACACACATATATATATATATATATATATATATATATATATATATACACACACACACACACACACACACACACACACACACACACACACACACATATATATATATATATATATATATATATATATATATATATATATATATATATATATATATATTAGGTTGCCCAGAAAGTCCTGTCTCACTTAGGAAGTAGAAGGAAAACAACAAATTTTGATCTATGTCTGGTTGAATTTCCAAGGAGTACTGCAATTCGAGCTTGTTCTACATAGACGCACCCTCAACACTAAACTGTATTGCCAGCAGCTATACCGCATGTACGACAAACTAAAGGAATGTCCTGCTTTGGGCAGTCGAAGTTGGTCATTGTTTCAGCAAGGTAAGGCGAAGCCACACATTGCCAGGTTGACTAAGGAAAAAATCAAACAGATGGACGATGTTGAGATTCTTCCATATCCACCATTCAGTCCCGATGCTGCTCCGAGTGACTATGGCTTATTCCGTTCAATGGCACACATACTCTGCGATCAACGATTCAACACTTTTGATGAAATGAAGGAAGCTTGTTTTTATATTTTTGATTCAAAGCCAGCGGACATGTATGTGGGACAGATTCGGATGTTAGCTGATCGTTGGTAGAACATCGTCGCGAATGATGGACTTTATTTTGAAGAATAAATTTGGGTGACGATTCATAAAAGTTTGTTGTTTTCTTTCCGTCTATTCGTTTCTCATATATTAATATCGATGACACTCATTACTAATTAAAAAATATTTGGTTGAACAGAAAGTCCTGACGACTTTCTGTTCAACCAAATATTCTTTAATTAGTAATGAGTGTCATCGATATTAATATATGAGAAACGAATTCGGGATTATGAAAATCAGTTTGATTCTCTTTTCTTTTTTTTACCTTTTAAGAAATCGCATGGTATGAGCGTATTTGTTTTGACTTCCATGTTAGAATTTTACTGATTGATTTATTTTTAAAGGCTTATCAAACCTTTGTGGTTTATTTAAGGCCGAAATATATCTTGGAATGTAAAAATTCTTTTCTTTTTGCGACTGGTATTAACAGTCTTTTGAGAATAACAATGGTTTTCTAGATGCAATAGTCCGAGATATGACGATAAACTACAGCCTTCAGCAATGTCTCTAATCGGGAGACTGGAGGTTTTGTGGAGCGTAAAACCAACTCTTAATTTCTATTGTAATTAGGTTCACCCTAGCCCGGGGTGGGGGCACATGTTAGAGTCCCACCTGTGAACCTCCTGTGAATACATTTTTATATTAAAATAACCAGCAATATAATTTTATATTAAAAATACCATCAATACATTTTTGAGCAAAATGACAAACAATGCGTTTTTTCTGTAATTAAAGGTAAAATATATTTAGTTAAAATGATAAAATTGAGTTCAAAATTTTTAGATGAAATACCCCATAGTGGTGTTGATATGTCGCTAAAGAAAATCAAAACCCCAATCCAGGTACAAATCCTATGATTTAACCCATACCTTGAGATGGATTCATTGCTTTCTCGAGGTATTTACGCGTAACTAAATATGAAAAACACGAGTGAAATTCGAACTCGGCTATACGATGTTCTAAGGCCGAGCCGTTACCCATTATATCACCGAAACATCAACGCGTGGCGGGGGGGGGGATACCAATTTACAATGAATTTACACAGCAAGCTGAACCGTACTATTAACTTTTATAAAATTTAATTAAAATAAAAATGAGATTTGTGTTTTGGAATGAATATTCAGTGGTTCCCAAACTTTGTTCTCTGGGCCGCAGTTTCGACTCACCAATTCTTATGTGATAAAAAGTATATTTAAAAATTTTAAAAAAACAGTTAAAGGAAGATAACCGAAGATTCGAAGCCTGAACATTATCATTGATAACTCTCTCCTCCAATTTGCAGACCCTAGTTACTATATTCTTAATACTTGATATAATGCAAAAATATCACAATGATAAAATCGGTCAATAATTATTGATAACTATTTATACTGGTCCTGATGAAGGTGGTTGCAAGTAATCCGTAATAACAATTTAAATTTTGAAATCATATTTATTTTTGACATATGAATTTTTTGAAACTATTTTTAAATCTTTGATTGTCTTTTAAACATTCCGCCTCACCTGCTATCCTCTTCTGCTGAACATATTAGGCGCATCGCACCATTTGGGAATCACTGGCTTAATCTATAGTAATATTGCAAAAAATTAAAAAAATATTCTTTCTGGTCTATTGTCCAACGCCACCAAACATGCAAATAAAAATAAACTGAGAGACATCATAGCAAGAAAGAAAGAGAGAGAGAGAGAGAGAGAGAGAGAGAGTGTAAAAAAGACATACAGACAGACAAATGACCTATTGACAGAACAAGAAGCAAAGAGAGACGCACGCATACATAGACCCAAGCACACACAAAGACAGGTAAAAAAATACAAATTTACTCACAAAATCACCTTGGATACAATATATCTATATATTTAACAATATTATTAACCTTCATTTAATAAAGAAACTGAAAATAGAAAACTGGAGTACGAGGCATTGTGAAATGACAGTGCAGATATTTCTCATAATGAATAATTATCAAAAAGCGTTAGAAAATGTCAAATAAAGTAAAACAATGAAACATATTCTGTCACCTGGAATGTTTCTCTAATTTCAAAGGAATTTTTGTTATTGTATCATTTTTTTTTTTTTTTTTTTTTTCAAAGGCCGCGTCCGTCGGGAGAACGACCGCGTCGCCTTGGCTGTTACCCGTGACGAGTCTGATATACGCTTGTATAATAAAAAAAAATTCAAAATTCTTTTGAATATCTTAGCGTTTGATGACTGCTATTAAGGTTTATATATATATATAGTTTAATTTAATAATAATATAATCGGAATGGCTGGAATTAATACAGAATTTTAATAGATTTTAAATTTTTCTAAGAATTTAAAAAGATGAAAACAATTCTTGTAAAAATTCATTATTCATTGAACATTTTTCTTAAGGCAATAGTATACTTAATATATCTCATTTATAAAAGGAATTAAAACCTTTCCTAATTAAATAATATCATAGTTTTATTTCATTTTTTTTATTTTACGATTCAGAACAGATTTTCGGTAAATGGTGTTTCTGGTTGTTTCGTTTTTAACTAATATAAATTTGAAGAGGCTGAAATTTTAATTTCTTGAAATTTCAGAAAATTATGTAAGTGGTGGAAACAGATGTAAAAAGATATACCAAGATTTTCTAAAAAAAAAAAAAAATAAAAATTTCATTCATTTGTAAAAAAAAGTCCTGAAAGTTTCATTAAAATCCGACAATTATTTGATTTTTGCAAGAATTTCCTAATCACTGTTTTTTTGTTTTTTTTATTTTTATTTTTTTATTTTTTACCGGAAAAAAGGCCCTAAATCTCCTATAGTAATCTTTGGCCGACTGCTGACGCAAGAAAAAACAAGATATTAGCCAAAATTTCGAATGTGCAAGAAAGGAAAAAGAAATTTAATAAAATAATTAAAAAATACGCTAGTCTTTCCTCTTAATAATAACATAAAGATTTTGATGATAAATCTTTGTTTTTATTATAAAAGATTAAAACGACTGACGACTGATCTCTCTTCCGATCTTGCACAAACAACCCAGTCGGTTAAGAACTGTCTGGTTACATTCAATGTTTAGAAGACCAAGGTAGTTATATTCGATCATCGTTGATCTGACCCCGGACTACCACCAATCATGATAAACGGATGTCTTTTTGTGGAAGCAACGTGCCTTGAAAGACTATTGGGCCTCAAACTCGCACCTGACCTCAAATAGAACGCGTATATACGATCCACTGCTTAGGAGGCAGATAAAATGGTCGGCTCCCTGTACCGCACCAGTAAGTACCTGACTCCTCCTGTTATCCTCTACTTTTACAAGAACCAGATCAGACCAAATATGAAGGGAGCTGCCCAGACGTCACTCTACAGTCCAAAAGCGTCTCCGATCCCTTGTGGGTGACGAATTATTCTCCACTCTCCAACTTCTCTCTTACAGGCGGGATGTGGGCAGCCTCTCGCTGCTCTAGGGCTACTTCCACGGAAGTTGCTCGGATGAACTATATTCCCTTGACCCGCTTGTCAAAAGTTTACGGCAAGGACACGGCATGCCACTTACATTATAGCAAACCACTCACATTTCCTCCGTATTCCATCGGTGAAAAGTTAGTTCCACTCGAACAGCCTCTTCCCGCGAACCACTAATCTGTACAATCGACTCACAAGAGGATATTTCCCCAATCATTATCATCTTAACCTGTTCACGGCTAGGGAGTTAACCGTTATCTTTCACTCCTATACGCACAGATAGCTTCCTAATGTAATTCTCAACCTCGAGTGGCCCTAGGCCTTGTAAAAGGTGAACTTTACGGTAAAACAAAGCAAAAAAATACGTAACGAATACATTAACAAATAGAATATTTATTTATACAATAAAGTCGACGTGAAATACAGATATTACAAATTGTACGCAATGACTTTAAATTTGACTTAAAATATCGACCGTTGTTTGAACATAAAAGTTTCCAAGATTCGTTTAAGCAATGACGACTACGAAACGACGATGGCGAAACTGAGGGTACTGTACTGTACTGATGCGGCATTCACCCTGGGCGCATTGAGCCGGCTTCTTCCTGTTATGAGAAGAAGATTCTTGGGATAAATTACAGAAGTAGGGTACCCAGGCCTACTCGGATAACGTTCTTGCTTACCGCGGGATTCCCACAGACGCAGAGACAGGAACGACCAGAAGCCGCCGGTTACCGATGCAGACGCTCCTTGGATTTTCACCAGAGCCCTTGTTAGCCGGCGTGTGTGTCAGACCTGTCCGCCTTGGGTGGCCCTACCAGGAACGAAGTTCCGGGCGGCATAGCTCTGACACTACCGTTTACACCCCCCTCACCGACTGTGAGGTAAGGGTTGGACTTTGGGGGCTTACAGTACCAGGTGTTCCCATCTAAGTACTGACCTGGCTCTACGCTGCTTAACTTCGGTGATCGTACGAGAACCGGTGTTTCAGCGTGATTTGACCGTAAGCCGAAACTGTGGGTGGAAATCGATGACAAGGAATTCTACCTTCTCAGTGGGCAACGAAGTAGTTCTCTGCGTTATAAAGTGTGATCGATGAGCCCGCTCATTTGCGTTCACTTTCGAACAAATGCTCTTTTGAAAGACGTGGATTCATCTCTTCTAACCGCACCCCCCCGGCTATGGGTTAAAAAACACTACTACTACTAGTACTGCTGTCATATCTGGTCTGGTGCTCCTGTTTTTCATCTCGCGGTTCTTGATATCTACCAAAGAAGGAACGGTAATATAAGTGATCCTGACTTGGCATCTCGTGACTTGGCTTCCATTCTGTCTCTTCTACAAATATTTTCATGGCATTTGCCTTCACTACCATCCCCCCCCTCCTGGTTAGCATCATGGTCCCACCTGTTTACTGTTGAAATAGATAAATTCAACCGCCACTTCTACTCTAACAGTTTCTTTTCTCGCACTTACCGACTGTGGAACTCACTTCCGTTTAGTTACTTCCCTGATTACTACAACCTTCAAAAACTTAAATGCAACGTCAATCGCTATCTTCTATCTTCTTAAATCTCGTTCATCTTTTGTTCTTTCCACAGTCCTCCATATACTGATTCTTTGTACTCCCTTTCCCTCTCTGACCCCCTGAGTACATTGACGTCTGGCTTAGGGTGAAATGATTTTTTTTTTTAAAATAGTAAGGGGAATAGTAGGAGTAATGGATTGAGGAATCGGAGATCCGAGTTCGAATTCCAGTCAAATCTATTACATTGACTTACATGCTAATATCCTTGCTAATATCCTTGAGAAAGGTATGTATCCTCTTCTCTTCTCCCCAGCCATGGGTAAAATAGCAGGACAGATCGGGTTCGATAGCGTTTGATGACAACTGGTCTACCGCAGAAAATAATGGCAACCTACTGCGGGAAAAATCTGCCTCGTCAGTCACGTATGTTTCGATACATGATCACCTAAGCGTGTATCACGCATGGCACATAACTGACTGAGGAGAGAGTCGTTTCTTTAGATTTGGGTAACGGTTAGTTTCGGAAAAGACACATTGGGCACTCAAAACCGAAGAGAGGGCGACGGGAAAATATTTCATTCTTTTTCCTTAGGAGTCATGCAGTTCACACATTAAAAGAAAGGAAACTCTCTCTTTCTCAAGAAAGGGGGGGGGTAAAAAAAAAGGAAAATTAATAAAACAAAAAAGTCAACCTACAAGGACAGCGAGGATTTCCAGGACAGAATTCTTCTTGTCTCGCCGATCCTTCACAATCTCGGCCTCCGTGAAGAGGAGCGGGGTTTCCACACGTCCGGGTACGTGACCGCATACCAGTGTTGCAAGTGTGAGAACAAGAAGTCCACGGTGACCACGGTGTCCAGCCTCCATGCGCTAGAAATAAAATCAGAGATATTAATATTTCAAATAACATAAATAAACTTTTTTTTTTCTATTCACCGGTACCTTCGTCCGAATCACTTGCGGCAGGTTGAAAGCTGAAAATTTAGTCTTGTGAAAATATTCAACTCGTCCACCATGAAAAAAGAAAAGGAAAGAAGAAAGCAGATAAGATGAAAATCCATTTTTTTTAATATTTTCCAGAAATATTCAGGTGTTTTTAAAAAATTATCTTTCTTCGTTTACAGTCCACTTTTACTGACTTCGACTCGGACTGCTACTCAGACTATCATGTGGATTCTCACGCTAGCTGCCAATTGATACGCTGTACATTTATTTATACTTTGCGTGTGAACTTAATGGGCGACACGCAAATGTTTAACAGAAAAATGCACGGCTCCATTTTAAAGTGGAGTGTATAACATTTCCAAGAACTTAATAACTATACATGCTTAAAATCTGCAACTTTGCGAATTAATAATTTTATTTACACTATGTACACTGTTTGTACTCATGTCCTCGTATTTATTGTCATATTCACGATGTTTCGAGTGTTGTATACTCCGGCCTTCTTCAGGTGATAGACGTTGCAATTTCGAACAGAAACCCAACGTATATCACTTGAAGAAGGCCGGAGCGTACAACGGCCGAAACGTCTTGAATATGACAACAAAGATGAAGATAACAGACAGATAATAATAATAATAATAATAATAATATATATATATATATATATATATATATATATATATATATATAGATTCATTTCTGTAGTTCACTGCCAACAGCAAGCAGAAATATTTCTCCTCCCGATGATGGCCATTTCGGTCGAAACTAGTCGAGGAATCTAAATGGAATAATAATAATAAAAAAACGAAAGAATATTAATCTACAACCCAGTGTGTCTAATGATTTTAATTTTTTAATTTTTTATTTTCTTATTGTTCAAAATATATATATATATATGTGTGTGTGTGTGTGTGCGTGCGTGCGTGCGTGTGTGTGTGTGTGTGTGTGTGTGTGTGTGTGTGTGTGTGTGTGAACATTGAAGTCAACACTCAGTGGCGACACGTTGTTTCATGCTAGGCGCAATCGTCACGCCGCCAATGCTGGATTTTTCCTCGACTATTTAAATATATGGGTTAGTGGTGCATTGTGGGTAAACTATTCTGGCAGTTATTTTTGCGGGAGCGGCTCTTTATTTATTTATTTGTTTGGGTTAAATTATTTGTTTTTCATTTTGCATTATTCTTTTCGGTTTTTGATGTTTTATTAATGTAGTAAAAAAAATGGGGAGGATTTTTAAAATATATATATGGAAAATATATCGAGGAGTTTCTGGCAAATTCTAGAAAAATCGCAATATATGAACACCTAAAATTTTTCACTAAACCGATTAAAATATTAATAATAAATATTATTTCTTGGTCTCGGAACAACAAAACAAGCGTAAAATAGCAATAGAAAGGCCACCGCCGTCTGAAGAGACGTAAAATATAATTATCGGCTGCACAGTAGAAGTCATCATCAGTTTCATCATCAGTTCTGCTGTGCAGCAAATTCATCACCATCATCATTGAAATTCTAATTCAACTTCTTTCGTTTTGAATACAGTAACAATATTTTTTTTTAATCTAAAGTGTTATTGCTTTACAGTTGTGCTTGTTATTGATAGAGTACCTTAATGGGTGGGTTGTTAACAGTACAGGAAGGGTTTTAAAAGTCCAAGTACACGTTAAATAAATTCTGTAAATATGGCGTCCCTACTTCGCGGAAATTCAGTTATCGCGGCTGGTCTCGGAACCAATCTATCGCGATAAACGAGGGATCACTGTACTCTCAACACGGACTTCTAGAAAAGTACGTGTATTCAGACGGTTTCTTTAAAAAAAAAAAGTCGGGTCGCGACAAATTTCTTTTAACAAAAGGAAGTCACAATGTAAAATGTGTGTGAATCCTTGCATTAGCATAGAGCAAACACATTCTCCCTTGTTCTCTCTATCACTTTATATGCATTTCCCTCTTTCTTTGTCCCTTTTTATTTCTATCTACACTCTTCTCTTTCACTCTTACCCCTCATTCTCATTTTACCTTTCTATGTTCCCCACTCTCTCTACACATTAGCAAACTCTACGCTCTCTTGAGTTTTTCTCTCATCCTAGGTTTTTACACCTACATTCTCCCCACACACAGACACACTCTCTCTTTCACTCACTCTTACAATTTGGTGTCTCGCAATTTTCCCTCCTTTCTTTACATTCTCCACTCACTCTTCACGTTCTATTTGTCCTCTCAGTCATAACTTTCCACCCACTCTGTTTCATTATATTTTCACGCCCGCTTCTTCCCAATTTCTCTCGCTCTCACAATTCACTCACTCCTTCTCACTTTTCACACACTCTCTCTCTCCCATCCTCATTACTTCACTCTTTCTCCCCTCCTTCTCTTTCTTTCTTTCTTTCTTTCCTTCTTTCTTTCTTTCTTTCTTTCTTTCTTTCTTTCTTTCTTTCTATTAAACCATATTGTGTCTTTGTACTCCAGTTATCTTTCTTTGTTCCTCAACTTTCTATCTCACTTCATACGCCACGCTCTCCCTCCCACTCTCATCACACTTCTTGCATCCCACTCTCTCACTCATTTCATACACAGTCGCTACGTTTTTCCCCCTCATTCTTTCACTCTTTTTCGATTCCACTCTCTCTCCACACACTCTCTATTCTCTCTAGTTCTCTCTCTTCGTTCTCCAACTCTATTATCCTAATCACTCTTATCTCACGCTTTTCCATCTACTCTCTGTCTTCAGCCAATCTCTCCTACTCTCTCACACTCATTCTCTTTTTCTCTCCCTTCATTCTCATTCCACAGGCACGACAAAGTAGCAACGCAGTCAGTCAACAGACACGCACTCGATACACAAAGGTCAGGCGCCCTCAAACCCAAGGTCAAGTATTCTTGGTCAGTACGTACGTCTCCAAAGATAAGAAACTTCAAAGAATGGGCGATAGCGTCATGGTTAAAAGAAGTGGAGATAAAGACAACAAAAGTGAGATTTGAAGTCAAATAAGCTAGCAATTTTGTTTTTGTCTTGATTACCTGTTTTCATTATGGCCGGCAGATAAGAAAAACCTATGCGACCGAGAAAAAATATAATGAAAACGTAGAACGAGAAGAAATTCTACAAATATTGTCTAAGGACTTAAAAATGGCATGGCGACGGAAACAGGCTCTTGCAGGAAGGCAACGATTTGAATAAAACGAATCCAGATAATAACAAAAAAAGGCACAGGTAAAAATAGTCACAGGAAACAGGAAACAGGACAAGATGAGCACAAAGTGGACAAAATACCAGTCTCTTTTACAAAAATTGGACAAAATCACCAGTTCCATGAAAAAATTAAAAATTCAAGGAACTGTAGTAAGTCCTGATAATAATAAAATAAATAAAAATAAAAATAATCCAAATTAAAATAAGGCATTTTCACTTTCTTTTAAAACTTATTATCTCTTTCTATCTCTCTAAACTTCTCTTTTCTATACTTCTCTCAAACCTACGAGAGACAATCCTCAAATAAAAAAAAAGAAAGAAAAAGAAAAAACTAAACCCGGCCCAAAACACCGGAAGCTTGCAGGAGCAGAACCTACTAATTTATGATTGAAAAATACCAAAAATCAAAAAAAATTCCGTTATAAAAGAAAAATGAAAATGAAAAAAACAATTTCGAGCCTATTCAAAAGGATAAAACCCTGACACCACAGAGAGGAACAAAAGAACGCAGCAATGCGTGGTGCTTGAAGAAGCAGTTAAGAGGTCATTGGTTACTAATGTTTCCGCTTTTTTACTGGGCCGAAAAGAACATAGTAGTTTTACAATAACCTAATTTCAAGCATTACTACTACCCCTATCGTGGTCTTACTTGAAAACAACCAGAATGGGCATTTCTCCAGACTGCTACTATATCTTCTTGGTTAACGAACTTCTTGCTATGCCTAATACCAAAGGACTCATTCATCCCTCTAAAGAAAATAAACAAATATATTATTTATTTTAACATTAGAATCAGTTCATTTTATTCCCAAAGTTTCTGACAATATTATTATCCCACAACGTATGCAAACGGACAACTTTCATATAGGAACGCACATGCTACAGAATTTCTAATTCAAATTTTAATGTCAAAGTGAGATTTTCTTCACATAAAGTTGGCTCTTATGGGATACTAGGGATCCCTGGCTATGAAATATATCGAATATATAACCATAGCTTTGTTAGAAAATGTTTTTTAGACGTTGGATCGGTTTACTTTAAATTTCTGTTGCAAACAGATTGAAACCATGAAGTGAAGTACCCGGGGTAGTTGTAACCGATCAGTTATCGGAGTCACAAGCGATCAAGTCAGGCGTCCCCCAAGGCTTGCGTCTCGACCCAACCCCCTTCCCACTGTACATAAATAATCTGCCTAAGAGTATACTCCGATCATTTGTGAATATCTATACTGATGATATAAAGATGCATGGGTGCACTTCTAAAACCGTCGATGACTAGAGCATGAAAACTGATCTATACTATGATCTATCTCTAACAGCTCTGTTGGGAAAAGACTGTCTGGTCACATACAATGCCTCAAAAACCATACCTTACACAATCGCTGATCAGACCCAGAACTTTCACAAAATCGTGAGGCACGGACGTATCCGCAATGAGTCCCCGTGTATCGAACGCCTACTGAGACTTAAACTCAGCCCGTACATTTGATCCATCGCTGAAGTTGCTGGAAAAATGGTCTGTTCCCTGTGCCGCTCCAGGAAGTACCTGACTCCTCCTGCACTCCTCTACCTTTACAAGAGTCAGATCAGGAGAAAAATGGAATCCTATTGCCATATATGGGCGGGAGTTGCGCAGTCATTGCTTTCCATGTCTTGATAGAGTCCAAAAGCGTCTCCGCGTCCTTGTGTAGGTGATGAATTATTTCCCACTCTGCAACCTTTTTCTCACAGTGGAGACGTCGCAAGCCTTTCTCTGCTATATCGCGATTTCCATGGAAAGTGCTCAGACGAACTACGTTCCTTAGTTCTACCAATTCTAACGTTCACGGTTAAGGCCCGCCTTGCAACGCACATTGTAGCGAACTGACCTCACCCCTTCTTATTCATTTGGTGAGGTGTAAGTTCTACTCAAGCATCTTCTTTCAAAGAATCATTGCTGTGTGGAACCGATTTCTATGGAGTTGCTTCCCCGATTAATACCATCTTAAAATCTTCAAGTCTATGGTTTCCTCGTTATCTTCCGCACATATCCGCATAAGCTGTGACACTTAGTCTGTATTCCTCTGTCTCGAGTGGGTCTCGGGCTATGTACAGCATGAACATCATTTAAAAAAAGATCCATCTTTAAGAAGCAACAAATATTCAACTTAACTGCAATTAACGATAGGATGTACAATATTACCTTAAATAAAATAAAAATAATTTTTAAAAAAAGTATAAAAGCTATAAACAACGCGTTTCTGCGAGAAAAAGTCGACTGCCTTTCGCTTCTCCAGGTTAATTGGAAAGGTCAAACATCATGCACGGATAATAAGAGAAATTTCTGGGGATTTAGAGGTTGCCATAAATAAAATTTCCTTATGACATTCGATGACCAGAAACCAGAAAGTGTCAGTCGGCCAGTTTGTATATATATATATATATTCCTCACCGGTAGCACAAATCTGAGTTACATGCACGACGCAATCGTCTGGTTCTAATTGAAAACTGACCGGTGTATAATTTAAATACTGCATATTTAAATTGGATCGTGATTGTGCATAACACTTGTGCTACCGGCGAGGAAAAAATGTGCATTTATTATTATTATTATAAATTATAATTCTATATATCGAGTATTATTTTATTATCACCAAAACTCAATGTGCAATATATATATATATATATATATATATATATATATATATACTTTATTTAAACATTTTGAGGTTTCTTCAACATATTCTTTCTGGCAATTCTTACATAGTATATAGTAAATTCCTACTTCAAGTTTTGGCTATTTTGTCTTGTATGGATTAAGCCTATTATTGATTTGGACGTCGATGTAACAAATTTTATGTTGAGTTTAGATTCTTTTTAATTGTAGTTATGATAGAATTAGACGGTAGAACAATATATTTTTGATTCGGTGGGTTTATCATATATATATATATAATATATATATATATATATATATATATATATATATATATATATATATATATATATATTGTGTATTTAGGCAGGAATCCTCTTCTATAAATGTTTCATTAAAGACGACACACAAACCATACATCAAGTTAAAAGTAAAAATAAAATCATTCTTGATAATGGCTAAAAAATGTATAGACGAAAACGCTCGGAATTACAGAATATTTGAGCAGTTTTTGCACACTCTGTGTCGAGAAAAGAAAACACTTGTTCGAACACAAGAAAAATTTTTTAAAAAGTTTAATCGCAATACCTTGTCTATCGTCTTTAGAGAGACAGACAGACAGAGAAATAGAGAGAGATTAGAGCCATTCGTGTCTATTGAATTTCAAATCATCTCAATGAAACCAGAGGTTTTTATATATATATATATATATATATATATATATATGCACGCGCACACACACACATATATTCCTTTTTTGTGGCATTTGATTGTGGGGTGCGCTGTTTATCCTATATATTACGCAGCACATTAGGATGTCTGTTGTCTTTCATTCTAGCCTGAAGAAGTTGAACGCAGCAGACATTCTTCGCCGAAACGCGTCGTTTATTGCTTTCTCTACGTTGTCTCATTATCTTCACTTTCAATTAACGATAGATGAAGTAATAACAACAATTGGCCAATTATCGTGATGTGATTGTTCAATGAGGCTTGAGGTGTATTTGTCAAAATATTATGTTGAGATTAGATTAATCCATTTAGGTTAATCGCACTTAGTTAACTACTATATTCGATTACTTCCCTACCGCTTTTTCTTTCGTTGCAAGCCTCTTGGTACTCTACCACTGTTTCCATGGAAAAGGTTCAGGCGAGCTACGTTCATTAGTTCCTCAACTCTAATGCCCCAACCTAAGAGCGACCATGCCGCGTACATTGAGATGAACAATTCATTCCGTTTGCATTCCTTTAGTTTCTCCTAAGAAACGCTTTGTGAAAGAGAATCCCACTACAAACTTAACCTTTTCAAGACAAGGTTTAAACGTTATCTTTCCTACATATATACTCATAAACTTTGGGAAACTCGAGGCGGCGTAATAGTAAGCTTGTCTCGCTAGAACAATTACGACTGAGTAGTGAGTTCGATCCTCATTGGGCGCCCCCTACTTTTGGACATGTGCTGTATCTAAGCTATGCTTAGAAAATCACTATATACTCATAAACTGCACCCCTTACTCTTACCGCTCACACAACAACCGCCTTCAGTAACATTCTATCTTGAGTGACACTTGGGCCTTGTATAAGATAAACATTATTAAAAAAACAAATAAGAAACCAATTATGACGTTCATGTCTTTGTTGTTTTGACTGTAGCACTTAGGTCAATATGACACAATCGGCGGAGAAGAGGCGTATTCAACATTTGATAATTTTGCGTCAATACGCGCTTAAAGGTTTTAGGCAGTTTTGATCAACTTTTCTTTCCATGGTTAGCGGTAAGGAATTGTAAATGTATGACTACCTTACACTTAAATAAAATAATAACAATAATATTTTTAAGAATTTATTACAGGAAATTTTGGAAAAATTTTTGACAATTATATATTTAGTTGCATAACAAATAAATAAAAATAATATAAATTTTGATACTATATTCGATTTGCTGTTTGGTATTTTTCATTTTTTCCTTTGTTATCGTCAGCATTTTAGAATACTTTGGCTGGAATGCTAAGTTTTCTAAGTTGAACAAACTGGAGCTATTTCGTTTACGCTTTGTTTTCTCTCTTTTCCATTGTTGTTTTTAGATCGCATTCTTCCATTTATTTTGATGGGCAATAGGAAATTAATGTATGACCAAAAAGAAAATGCCTTTGACCAAAAAAAATTAATGATTTCATTATAATTATGTAAGCTGAAGTTTCTGGGACACATAATGAGGAAGGAGGGCCTG